CTGGCCCTGTAAGTGGCTGCCCCAGCAGAGGGGACAGCTTTTTCTAACCCCCTGACATGGGAGGCAGCAGGAGCAGAGGGAATGAAACATAGACTATTAACCATACATGTAAATGGGTGGTAATTTTAAGATCAGTAAAATGTTGAGGCCTTCACTGTCTGATTCCGCGTGCTTAACCTCTGCTCCCTGGAAACTGAATGTCCAGTGAGCTACATTTCCCCTTTGGTTTCCAAGGGGCAACTTTCTTATCCTAGGCTGAGACTGTCAAGACAGTTCTTCCTTCAGCTCTGCACTGATATTTTGTCCACATTGGTGCCCTGGAGGTGTGGGTTCCATTTAACTGCCAGCTGAGGTTATCTCCGTGAGCCCGCTGTGATGTACAGACACTAGTGCTTGTTGGGAAAGGGGAATATATGCGTACACAAGGGCCATACATGTTAATTTAAAATGCTTCCAAGTTAAAATCTGAAAGCTTTCTTGACTCAAAAGGCCAGCCAATACTAGTTCATCTCTTACTTTTCATTACTTTTCTAAGAAGGTTAACTTGACTGGGCTGAAGGAGCTAGAGTACATATATATGCAAATAAAGGCAGACTTGGTATCTTTTGACTTGCCAGAAATCTGACAAGCATAAATTAAATTTCTGGTGCATGTTATTAATAGAGCTTGAATATTATAAACAGAAGAATGTGTCCACTCATTATTTAAAATTCTTCTATTTCTTTTATAGGCTTCCTTTCTTGTTGATGAAGTCAGCAGCATCATTAAAGAGGTAATGTAAACATTTTCATTTTGTTGGTGTGGAAATTTCATATGTTGAATGCTGTGTACTAAAAGGCATTCAGTAAAATGTGGTAACTGATATGTAATAGATTTCTAGGCAGGTTGCTGTCAAAGTACAGGTAACTTGGTTAAACCAGTGTATGGACTTTAGCAGAAATGATACCAAGCTTTAGCTGTGATATATATTGAAAATCCAAGTAATTTCATACACTCCGCTCTTGTTGCAGCGCATCCCTATTACAATTTGTAGGGGATGTTTTGTGTTAAACACCATAGAAATAGATTTTGTGTTTTAGTAAAATACAGGAGTTTTTTGTAGACTGTCTGCATATGCATGTTACTGTGTTCTTTTGAGATGCTTTACTCCTAAGTGAATTCTTGTTTGTTTGCAATGATTGAACTATTCTTGTTGCAAAGAAACATGAATTTTTGGGCTGGAAAATTTCTAGCAGGATTTGGAATTCCTCTTGTAGACTAGTGCAGTCTTTTTGTCGTTGCAAAATAACTGTATAACTCTGTAAGTTGCATATACTGCTTTAATACATGGTCCTGTCTCTTCTGAATTAAATTTTGTGGTTATTTTTAAAATAATTTCTATGATGAAAAATGTGCCAATGAAAAACATGTAGGTTTAATGTACTTTTATTTATATCTTAAAGGGAAACTATCCTCATAAGTAAAACTGATTATTTGGCTGGAGGCTTATGCTCTGTTAGTAACTAGCAACTACATGGGTCTTCTGTTTTAGTCCAGGGGTTTGTCTCCCAAAAATTATTCTGCTCAAAAAACTGGAATTTATTTCCATAGAAAAATATGAGTGAATGAGCTATTGTACTGTGCCTTTCTAAATCCTCTTCAGGACTGTTTAAATGCAGTGCCCTTTTCATAACTATGAATGTAGGACTTTACAAATAATCTTAAATATCACAAAATGAATAGAGCATGGGATCTTTGATGATTTTTCCTATGCCTGGCTTGGACTCTGACCTGCATGTTTTTAATAATTGAAAACACTTCCAACAGCAAGTGTGGACCAGCAGTATTTAGGATTTTTCTGTGGTTATGGGGTCCATGTTGGAAGGGGTTAATGGGTGCCTTGCAGTTGACAGCAGTGCAGCTCCTTGACCCGTTTGTCCCCTGCAGGCCATAGAGGGTGCTATCGGTGGCAATGCCTACCAGCACAGCAAAGTGAACCAGTGGACAACAAGCGTGGTGGAACAAACCCTGAGCCAGCTCACAAAGCTGGGGAAGCCCTTCAAGTACATCGGTGAGTTCAGCTTTGTTTTTTCTCTAAAAGCTGGGACAGTCAGGTGCACCAGTAGGCAGGGGATGGGGGAAGATATTAGGAAGAGCCTTGTCTGGAAACTGCTCACAAGCATGCATGTTTGCTTGTGTATGTGTGTGCTAAGCTGAGCAAAAATGAAGCTAAATGCTAATTAATGTTACTGAGAAATTAATCAGAGCTTCTCTACTGAATAACAGTGACCTGTGTGATTATGCAAAAGAATGGTGCTGGGCTACATACAGCAAGCTCTTGCTTCTGGGACAATTCCAGTGATGGTAAGAAAAACAACTCTTGGATTTTCCAACTAGCAGCTTAATGCCAGTCTCTTTAAGAGTAGGCAGCATATTTTTCCCTCTTCCCAAGTTTGTAATTTTGGAGTAATAGAATACTGTTAGGTATTTTTTCCATTTGGCTGTGATGCTAACTGGGCTGTATATTAAATGCTTGGCTGTTGTGAAAGCTTCATTTCGAAGATTCTTAAAGGAAACGTATAAAAATGCATATGGGGCATGCATGTAATCTCTTTAACTTCCTTCTATTTCTGATACCCTTATTTTTGTATTTGCAGGAACCTGCACTGTGAGATGGGAGAATAAGACCATGTACTGTATTGTCAGTGCCTTTGGACTTGCATTATAATTGCCTTGTTCGTTCTTCTCTTTTCTATTCCATCTCCACTCAAACTGTGAATACCTGAACAACTTGTTTTTAATGCATTTTTTAGTAACTTTTCTTCAAAGGTAGATATTTGAAAACATGCTGTTACCTGTTCTATGTTTGTACCTAGTACCATACCAGTATTTTCTATACTTTTTTATCACTTAAAGACTTCTCTTCAAGGTGCTAATACTGAAATCTGCTGCAGTGTAAACACTTTCTATAGATTTCTTTTCTTAGACCACTGTAAATGAGACACTGACTTTCACACTTCGTACTTTTCGTTAGCATTAAATTATTGAAATTCATAGCCATTGGTGTGATTCATTTAATCTTAAAATCTTTCATTACTGGGGGGAAAAGTTTTTCAATAATTTTTTCAATTATCTTCAAGATAGTTGAGGTACACACCACAATGTAAAGCATTTACATAATTTTGCCAAAGTCACTACAAAGTTGCAAGAAAACTAGATTATATTTATCAAAAAGTAACTTGGCTGCATTTTTGGGAACTGTTTATCTTTTTGTATGGTATTTAGAGAATGGAACAATATCTACCTTCACTGAACAAAGGTAAGAAATTTTTCACATTCTGTTAAGAGAGCTTTAGTATGGGTTCAGTCTTCAGTCAGAAATGATACAACACCTGTAAGAAGAAAATATTTAAATCAGATTGAGTAACATGTCCAAAACAGTCATAAGGGTCAGAGAGAAACTTGACATGAAAAGAATAAATCTTTGCTCTCTTGAGTTGCTAAGGAAGTTTTATCATCTGGATGCTTAGATACTTTTTCTCCTTTCCATCATGCCAGAATGATGCTGGCAGTGTAGTTACCTACTGAACTATTTATTTACACTTAAAAGAAACAGTTTTGTGCACTTTGAGTCAATATTTGCTTCTTTGGTCAAGCCATTCAGACATTCCTTGTCCTTTGTTCATGTTAATAATAGCAAATCCCTTGGTCTTTTGGTGTTTGTGGGTTCGTGCATATGCTGAGCTGCAAAAAAAACCCAACAAATGTTTTGAGATGCTTGTCGGTGTAAAGGCTGCATGGGCGGAGAAACCCCTGTTGCATTAAAACCAGAGCTGTGCTACAGAAAGGTAGATACAGTTGTATAGGTGGTTTTAAATGTGCGCAATAATCGGTACTTACAGTGTAAGTTCTAGGGCTACAGAACAGGGTTTAGAGGCTGTGGATTTTTAGGTGTTGGGTTTCCCACTCCCATGATTCAAACAGTGCTTTTCTTTAAAATTGCATAGCAATTACTGTTTAGGTGTTCTACAATAATTGATAATTTTAAGTTTTCATTACCTTCAAACACCTTAGTTTTAAGCATTTTTTCCAGCCAAAGTAAAGCATTTGGGTGATGAGCTGTCAGAGTCCTGGCTCTAGGTAATTAACTGGCCTTAAAAAAAATAAAACCAAACTATGGATGGAGCATTCAAGGTAATTATACAGTCAGTCTCTGCTATCTCTTGCTTATTGCCATGGCTCTTCATACAATTACAGCTACAGAAGGGGGGCACGGCAGCACCAGTATGCAGAAGAGGAGGAGGAGGAGGAAGAGGGAAGCCATTTACTGTCCCTGCCACAGATGAGTCTGATCTGTGTTAACTAAAACCTAAGAAAATGGCTCCAGGATTAACTGCTGCTGCTAATAGAGCACCACCCTATCTGATACTACAGCCACGAGTAAGCTCCATATCCATTTGTGCAGGAAAGTTTGTGGCCATTTTATTCAGCACAGGAAGATTTTGGTCTCCTCTCGAGTTGATATAAGAAATGGCATCACCCCAATTAGCAAGTGGTGTGCTGATCACTTCTGCAGTCTACCAGCTATGAGCAGACTTTTAGAAGATAAGAGTTGCAAGAAGCTGATGAATGACATCAGCACCTTCACTATCTTTAAACCTGTTTTTTATTACTGGCATTAATATTCACCAGGAGAATTGTCACTGCCAGCATGGCCATAGCAGACTTTGCAAAGTCACACCGTGAAGCCATTTGAAAATGCCAGGTCCCTTACGTAACCTGGCTGGAATATTTTAAAAACTTAGCAACCTATCCTTCCCCCTTAAGTCTGGACAAGGTAATACCCCCCCGCAATAACACAAAACATCTGCAATGACACAGCTTCTTGGAACCCATCCATATGCAATTAACCAAGCTTAAATACGCATTAAAAATGCATGCAAACTGAAAATATATGTAAGTCATGAAAATAGTTTATGAGAAGGAAACTAAAATTCAGTAGAAGGAAAACAAACCTAGGATACAATATAAATATATAAAACTTTATTATGAACATATTTAACAATGATTTTGCACATAAAGTCTTCCAAGAAACTTCCTCAAAGTAAAATACTCAGATTTCCTTCATATTTCACATTAGCATGAAGTTTTACAACATAAACAGATAATTTGCTATTATTAGCACAACTTATAGATACACAGAATATTTAACATGTCCTCATGCACACTTTCTCAAAGCAGCATTTAATTACAGCTTCTCATTAAACAGAGCATTTGCATTTATCTTACACATTTTTATACCATTTTGGTACACAATTTTTCCATATTTTCATTTTACATATTTACAAACTCCTAAAAATAGTTTTACAGTAATGCAAAAGTTATTACTGGCATAAGCAAAAGGAAATGGTTGGGGGAATTAGGTGACTATGGATGAAATGTTGTCATTTGGCTCAGAGAAAGACTACAGATCTAAGTCCTAGATGGAACTTTCTCCCCAGTATTGGTACCACAGATCCAGTGCACAAGCTGTTTCTCACTGGTGTTAAGCTGCCTCTTTGCCAGTCCCAGGAAAGTTTCCACCAATTTCTACACCAACTGTATTTGTAAACCAAATGCTACAGAAAGTAGTTGCTATGACTGGCTTGCACTCAATTATTGATTTCTTAGAAGTCCCTTGCAATCACCGTGTACGTGGAAGTCTCGCATTGATGGATGTTTGCTCTAGAGCCAGGATCACTGTGTGCTGTGGGGCCTTCCTGTGTACATTACTTGTTTTGTACAGGTGCACTGGTTATGGAAATAATTACTTTAGCAGTAATAAAAGGAAAGCCAGGCTAGCTTCTTAAAAAGATTTCTTCTGTTTGACCCTTAGATTTCAATACTTTACTCAGAGATTAACTTATGCCACCTACTCCCAAACTGTTTACAGCCCACATTGGAATATTCTTCAAATACTGTCTCTGCTCTCCAATCATGGAAATAAGAGGAGTCTTGCTAGCAAAACTAGTTCCTCATCTGCTTCATTGCTTTTGCCATCTTACTGTATATGCTATTTTGCATGGCAAACATGCAAAATATATGCTTAAATATAATCTCTAAAAATAACCACAGAAATTATTTTCTCACTATGTTCATAGTGAGATACTTTAAAGTACACATTCCCCATTCTTAGCTTTTCTATTTCCACTTTGAATGTAGTGATGTAGTGAAGTTTACTCAAACAAACCAGCAAGAGAAATGGGTTGAAAACAGCTTAGAAAAAATAATCTCCAAATTAGATTAAAAATGTGTTTTTTAGTTAATGAAATCCCAAGACACTATTTGAGAGTTAACTGTAACAACCAGTTCAGACTGTGATAAGAAATATTGATGTACTTTGCACAATGGTCAAATTTTACCTTTTATAACAATTTAGGAGAGAATTAAACAATAGCATAGGAAAAATATTTGAGTATGTAAGAATTGTGTAAATATCAGTTTTTGAAAACCTATTTGCTGTTCCCACTGTTACTCCAATGGAACTTGAAAGTATTTGGCTTATGTAAACAATGTCAGATTGGTTGCCAAGTCTGATTCTGCACGTTCAAATGGGGAGAGTTATCTCAGAAATAGTAAAAATGAGAATGGACTTGACAATTTCAGGATACAGAGAATCTCCCATACCCTTTCAAAATAGTCTAAAAAGAAGTGCTGATGAAGGTACATTTTACTAGTTTTCTGAAAAGAAAACTACCACTAACTTGAATTATTTCTTTAGTGTTTTCTTATATGTTCTTCTAAAGTAATACCGATTAAGAAGTTAAAGGGAAAAACCTACTTTTCCTCCCCAGCAATTTCCTTGCTTTAGCCATACAACAGTGCTTTGGCTTCTAACAATGAAATGATCCCTGGCACAAAAAGCTTTTAATTTCAGATAGTCCCCAAAAAATTTCACAGCGCTACATAATTTTAGAACATTTTCCCTCTCTCTCTCTCTCACACACAATGTCTCACGACACATCTTTAGCAGAGCACTGATTTAATCTGAACTATTCCATAACAGCAAGGGCACAATCACACAAATCAGTTCCTTTGGTCCTCTCTGAGTGAGCTGCTGCCTTGTGCAGCCTCCACTTTGTGATTTTGAACATCCACCAGCAGGGCATTGCAATGGGCACAGTCTAGAGACGTTGTTGCATTACAGCACAACAAATCTCCTTTTTCCCCACTATGATTCAGCAAGTCTAGCAGGACTTCATTGCACTATTCTGCTTAAACTACTTCAATGATGAGCACAATTCCTGGCTGCAACCCAGCACCATATCGTAGTAGATTAACAGTGCTTTTGGGAATCTTCTAAAGCAGCAGGGCAGAGAAATTTTACAAGAGTAAATCTCTCTTATAAGTACATGAAAAAAGGAGATACTTTTGGAAAGGTCAAGTATCTGAAAACAAAAGTAGTTACACACCAACATCTTAAATAAAGAACCTAACAATGGTGTAGGAGAAAATCAACTTCTAGAGAAACAGCAGCATCGTACAAGGAATACTTAATTCCCATAAAACTTTGTTCCAGCACAGACTGGAATACAGATAACCACAAAATGTGCTAGTAAGAGTTCCCATCATACAGATGGTGACTGATATGACAAAGAAGCTGAACTGTACACAGAACATTCTCACAAGCTGACTCAGGCATGTTCAATACATGAGCAACCACAACTGTTCCTAGCATGTAGAGTAACTATGCATTAATACAACTTAAGGGAAAACTGATGCAGTGAAAAAAACCTCTAAAAATGAAATGTTTGGAAATTTGAAACTGTAATTCCTTAGAAAACTTTCATACTTTATTCTCTGCAAGTAACAATCTCCTTCAGCATACAAGGCAAATAAAAAGCCAGTACTGGCTTCCTTCTGAGATTTGTTGTTGAAACATTTCCATTTAAAAGGGCTGTTTAAAAAAACCAACAAAGACACTTCTGCTGTGGCAGTAAAGCATGTCATGAAACACATATTATACAAATAATTTTGCACCACTGAGATTATTCTGGCTCATTAAAACTTGCCTATTTGACCATGTCTTGCATTTATGAATCCAGTAAATTTACTGAAATGTATTTTTTAAATGGCCTGAAGTCTGTATCACTTATTTGAAGGAAGAATAGAAAGCTTGTGTCTTCTTTCACCGATTAAAAAAAAACAAAACAAACAACAAAAAACCAAACGAAAACCAAAACACTTCATTGTCTGCCTCCAGCTTAAAAGGCTAAGGTAGAAAATTCAAAGGGAAATGAGGCACTTCATACCACTGTGGACAGTATACAAAACAGCTAATGTAAAATGCAACAGATAAATGGCAGTATGCTATACCTCATCCTAAAGAAAAAAAAAAAAGGAAAAAACTAAAACTGAGCAGCAAGGAAGCAATTCGAAACTCAGTACACAATCTGTGAGTATTTTAAACTGAAATAGACAAAGATTTTAGTCCACTGACATCCAGTTATTAGGCATTTTATAAGACATGTAAAAATTTTGGTTTCTTCAGTTTTCACTACAACCACTTCCATCATTTGTTTTCTGAGTTTTATCCTTGTAAACAGAAACAGAAGCAGGATGTCCTTCCTGGGAGCTGGTGTTCAGATGACAGCAGACTGTAGGAACCAAAGAAGTTGTCCATCTAGGAAAACTTCAGAACTTGCTGAACTCCAGATGCACAAGTCTGTCTGCACTGAAACCAGTCAATCAATCACTGTCTGACTCTTCTTTATACTTTGCTCTAATAGCTTGGCCATTCTGAAGAGGCATCTCTTCATAGTCACTCCTGTGAAACAGACATGTGTTGTAACTTCTGAACACGGTGTTCAGATAGGAAGTTGAAAATAAAGAGCAAAGTTCTAAACTACATTGAGGCATCAAACTGTTACTTGGGTAAGAAGCTGATATCTGTTTCTCTTCCTTGTGGGAGCTATCAACAACACATGATTTTTCTCCAGAGGATGATGCATAATAAAAGTTATTCCAGTGAAAGCCATTTTTCACATGGGTTTGCAAGAAGCAAGCTGGCACTACCACTGCTCATCTAACTAACCAAAGGCAAGCTATCCCAGCATGAACTTGTTCAGGTTACTGCAATGTTGGTCCCATCCTCACTGTTCCAGCCACTTCAGCATCATTGGTAAGAGGTGAAAACATCACGGGTGTATTTCAGTGTCCCGCACAGAGACACCTGATTGGGATGGGTCTCAAGTGCTACTGTAATGCTCATATCACATAAAATCATCCAAGTCAAGGAAGTTTTGCTCAACTTGATTATTATTCGTTCAGTAAGTGCTGGAGACTTAAAAAGCACCACTCTCCTTCCCTGAAGCATTTACATATGAGCTGACTCTTTGCTAATCCATCTGACTCCTTCAGTCCTTCCAGTTTAAAAAGAAGCCCTTTCCCTTCACAGCTCTTACTCCACAGCTTCACTCCATGTGCTACCAACATCATAATACTTTCTTACCTATTTGTATCAGTGCCATGGCATTCCCTTTTAGAAACCAAAAAAAAGAAAAAAAATGCACTCTCATTGTATTTCTGTTTCAGAAAAGGCTAAACTTTGATTATTTAGGCAGAAAACTTTCACTAACAAACCCTTCACTTAATTAACATGTAAAAGAACATTACAAAAATAACACACCAGAAGTAACTCTCCATAGGTATTTTTCAATCTTTCTTACCCATAAATCACATCGTCATCTGAATCATTCAGCATAGAAAAAGCAGGATTGTCTTTCAACTGTGATTCTGGAAAACACAAATAAGAGTTAATTTAGTGTGCTAAATAAATGTGACTGTACTGCTACAACACGGTAGCAACAGACACAACAACTTCCAAGGCAGTCACAACCACAGTTCAACAAAACTATATCCAAACAGGAATTCTCTCCTTTAAATTCACTACCCTTCAGCCACATAATTATAATGTTCTTAAGAGTTAAGGAGACAACATTAATTATCTTATTTTTAGGTAAATATTCTCTGTTGTCTAAGTTCATTTCCTCCCCTGTGCAATTTCCCATGTCGTATTTCAACCTGCACATAAATTGATTATTCTTAATAAAAATTTCATATGTATTTAAAAAGCACAGACTTCTTGATTATTTCTAAGCTAAAAATATAGTAGACCAAAGTTGGAGTCCCTTGACTGCAAGTCAGTGATTATCCAGTTATTCTCTATTATTGAAAGAGATGAAGGAAGGACTTGTACCTTTATGGTGAGATGAAAAGAAACACATACTTTCCAATTGATATTTATAACAATTCCCTCTAGCTTGTTTTAAGGGCTTATTTTCTTGCAGAATCTGTGCTGCTTAGCTGCCAGTTCGTAGTTATATGCAAGTAAAATTCAATCTGCCAATTTGCCATAGCAACTTTTTTCTGGGAGCATTTTACCTTCTGTTGTCTACAAACAAATATTTCTGCAACCCAGCAGAAGGCTTCCAACTTTATCTGCATCCAGCCAGTTCTTTTTCCATTCTGGATGGAAAAATAGCAACTTTCTGGAATAGTTTTGTCCATCTCAGCTCTAAATTAGAGGAAGGACAAGCTCCACTATTTAGTGCCTTTCCCCTGCACACTTTCAGCATACAAGATACAATTGGACAGGTTGCTAGATCATCTCATCTAGGCCTCCTTTCCCATGAAAGGTTGGGCCACATCATCTTGCCAGGTCTCTTCCAACCTGGGCTCTTCTATGGTTCTGTACCTTGAACAGAATGCTTAAAGCAGAGAATATAATCAGTAAAAATATTTATTTTAATGATCTGTATCTTTTAGTGAGGGAAATGCTTTATAATCATCATGTAAGTCAGACTGTATCCTTTACATCACAGTGCAAAACCAGAATTGCCACTGACTCAATCCTTTGTCTCCCCTTACATGGGCCCAGTGCAGCCCTCCCCATAGCAAGTTCTCCAAAATTTCTCCCATATTAGAGACCAATTTCACTCATACTTTTCCAACAGCATTTGGATTTCAGAGTCCAGTTTGCCAGCATGCTGATGTATTAACTTTTGTTAGAACGAAGTACAAATGAAGTGAAGTTGATCCTTAAGGGCTGTCTGAGTAATTTCAAAAGTTGGTGCATTACATGCAAATATAATGCTGACTGTAAACTTGATCTAAGTGCACAAGAATTCAAGCCCAGCTAGTCAGCTGATTACATTTAATGTGTTCCTTCAAATTTCCAATACTAATTTTCACAGGAGCAGCGAGTGCAGCTTCTGCTCATGTTAACTCAAAGTGAACTGGAACAGTAATGAGACAACCAGAATACAAAGACATTGCACAGCATCTGCTAATATGACAGTTCTTGTCATCCACGTTTTCCAGACAATGGCTCACACTTACCATACAGTGCATTCTTCGAGGGGGAATACACGAAGGCTAATGTGTAGAGATAAAAGTTCAATAACCCATAAAATGATAAGAATTCTGCTGGTAATAAGTGTTAAGGACATTGCTCAATATAGTTCCATACCTATTAACTTCCAACCCATACACAGGCTGTTTCAATGGAAAGAATGTTTACCTTACTCAAGTTTGTGAGCGTGAATGGCTAAACAAAACTACATGTTTTAAATTCAATGACAACTAATGTACTCAACCTATTTCAAGGTAAAACTCCCACTGAAAACAAAGCTTTAACACAAGTAACATTTGCTGAGGTAATCCTCTGCTCTTGAGCAGTGGAGTGTATGGTCAGTCAAATAGTTCTGCTGCCTTGAATGCTAAAAAAAAGCAGAATAAGTCGGGTGTTCAGGTGGGTTTGGCTTGGTTTATTTTTAAAAAAGTTCCTCAGCACAGTGAGGAAGAAAGAAGGACAAAGAACTACATGTGGATAGAACTCTGAAGATGGTTTCTTGCCATTGTTTTAGGTGAATACTAAAGGTTTTATATATTGTTTTCTCCTACCTCCCAACTCATACCTAAGCTAATCAGCAACCAGAGCAGCTGCAGTCACACAGAGCAAGGATCTCATGGCTCAGGACAGGAATTCAAGTCAGAATGCTGCTGGCAACAAACATCAGAAATAGTCTCTCCCAAGCCACTCAAATTCTCTACTGTGACCTGTATCACATGTAGACTTGGACCAATACACAAATGCATTTTCACTAACATCAAAATTATTAATTTCTCATATTTTAGTATGCCCCATGATAACTGATAAGTAGAAAGCAAACAACTGAGGCAGCACATACAGCCAAATTTGCCATAACATCTCATTAAAATTAGTTAAATATGCATAAAGCATGCATATCTGAGACTTCATTCCTCTTGGAGAGTATCACAAGCAGTTGTGATGCATGTGATGTGGACACAGTAGACTGAGACTGTCTAGATCATAATTTTATGAAGAACCATTGCAAAATGCTGATAGGAAATAGCAAACAAAACAGACTCAACTTCAAGAGTCCACCTAGAAGTCAAAGGTCTCAGTCTTAGGTACATCATTTTAAAGCACATTCTGCCTGAAAACAGATTAACATATCCTACTTGAGCAGTATCACAGTACAAGGATATAATTCTGATAATGAGTTGAGAGCTCAGCAACAAAGTTGTCCTGCAGAACTTGTGCTCCAAAGCGTAGGTAGAGTATAACAATGCTGTGGGGAAAAAAATAAAGTATATAAGTGTACTGTGTCCTTAGGCTGCAAAATTGAAATAGTAGGTTGATAGAAGAGTATATGAGAGAATAATTATGCTAACATGCTGACCGTTTATTTTAAGATACATTTGCTTTGCTAGTTCTAAATTAAGAATGATTCTTTTGTGATTAAAAGTTAGCAGTCAGCTGAGAAAAGCAGAAATCCTCAGATTTCATCCACTACAGACAATCCAATAGTCAACAGCTTTTTGAAATAACAGCTTGGTGTAGGGAAAACAGATATTAACAGTAATGTAAGAAATCAACATTAAACTTCTGCTTTGACTAAGTGAAGCCTACAAAACTCCTGAAGAATTCTGCCAAATTAACGTCTACATCCAGCACTAGCATGGTAATCAGAATAATACAAAGTTAGCTCAAAAAGACTCAAGAAGAGTTAAAATATTAAGAAATGCTTGCCATCACAATAATATTAAAAGGTATTCTTCAGTTTCATTTACTAATTTATTACAACAAAATGTATTCAAAGCCCTGAAAGAAAGGTTAGAAAAGCTAGAGTACTGACAAATGTACTTTGAAAAGCCTTACCTAATGACAAGCACTACAAAGGTTAATGCAGTCAAGAATTTTAACCTGAGATCTGAAAAAGAATGAGAGAAGTTTTTATCAGTGAATTTACACCTACATCTAGGAGAAGCAAGCTTGTTTGGGAAGAATCAAAAGAAGTACTGCTTACCAACATAAGGCATGTTTCGAAGTTCTGAGCATGCCCTCACTATCAGGAACAAAAGGTAGAGAATATATGTGGTTGCCACCACAAGGAAGAAGATTTTCATTCCCTATAAGGAATGGGAAGTTAGGTTTTATTATTTAATAAGATTTCATCTATTCCTTCTTCTGTCAACAGAAATAATTAGTTCCCAAAAGTACAACATAGAAAGGTCCAGTTATGCAGGGAAAGTAGGCTCATGAAACAAGGATGGTGATACATTCAGGGAGGTTTTTGAGAAATGTAAAGAAAGGATGCTTAATAGAAACCAGGATTTTGTTAACTGTTTTCAGAGTTGGCTGAATATCAGTAATTTTCTAAAAACACAGCTCCCAAGAACAATACAAGGACCCATGCACATCAATTCTTGCTTTACAACAAGAAAGTCTGAAATTTACTAGGGTAGGGGACCTTGGCAGGAGTTAAGATGTACAAAACTGAATAACAGACTAAAGGTTTTTTCTTTCAATCCCAACAAACTTGTGGTAGCTAGTCTCCATATTTGCAAGACAATTTACTTTTCTCAAGGGGACAGATATCAATATGGTCTATGAATGATCTAAAGCAAAACCAAAAGTACTCCAGTCAGAATAAGACTGCCTGACCAGCATTTTCTGTTTTCTGAACTTTGTTTTAACATTTTTATAAAAGAACAGGCCCTGTATTTCCTTACATTGCCTAACTGTACCTGACAATTGGACAGCAAGAGGTAATTTCTGACTTACCTGGAAATTACCTGTATCAACCCTGTATTGATATGTAGGGTCGTGTACTTCATTCACACTAGAACAGATTCAAAATGAAAAAGTGGTATTAAAAATGCACATTTCCAGACAAAGTTAAAAAGACAAGCTGACCAAGAAACCACTCACAAAGAAAAGGTGTAAGGTTACTATGTAGAGTTTATAACAAAAGGATTTCGCTGTGCAAGTTAGCACAATGCTATTAATTCCAATGAAGTCATGACAATTTACTATATATAACAAACTAAATTTGAAGAAATATGGAGGATGTAAATTAGGATAATAATTTTTATGATCCCAATTATTTTTTAGAAAATGTGTATTATGTAAATTCCTACAAGCCTTCAGGATTCCTACAAGTCTTCATGTTTCAGAATCTACATTTTATCCTTAGAAAATTGTGGCATGAGGCCTTCCCTCATAGCAATTTTATTAATAGCACGAGTACTTCCTGCAACTGCACTGCTTTCAATAATGTAAAAGGGCAAGGAGAAGGTATCTTCCTTCTGACATAAAACAAGAGGCAAATAATTGAGACTAAAACAGTATGGAAACTACAAGTGTACTAAAATGGATGAAGTTTTCTGGGTGGGGAAGAGTGACACCTTTATGTTAACACAACAAATTGGAAAGAATGGAGAACCACTAAACCAAGCAGAAGAAAAATTCTGAGTAAAGACAGCATAGCTTGACTAAGCCATGTCAGTACTAGTTGTGCAGGTTTAATAGTCAAGAAAGTCTGGTCAAACTATGTCCATAATTAGCTACAGAGAAACTGTTGCTTCAGCTACTAAATGCTAATTGAGCCATAGCACTAGAGTGATTCTTGCAGGGAGCCATAACATAGACATAACTGACAAAGTGGTCATTTCTAGATCGCACTCAGATTTATGAAAGTATTTACTACTAGGTTCTCCATGGAGAACCATTTTCAAATCAGTCACAATTTGCAGAACAGAAAGATGTAAGAATTTGAACTCCATTCCTGTATCACAATCTGAGCATTAAGAAATAGGTACCACTAGGTGTGGGTTCTCTCCTTGCTTTTTCTACCTCTGTTGGGGTCAGGATTGAAGGCACTTGAGATGATAGTTTGCACTGAGACTCAGGTGTTTATTGCTTCTTATCAGTGCTACAAGTACACCCAGTCTTCTCATTCTGGAACACTCAGCTCATACACGTGCAATACATTTTAAATTACTTACGTTTGCCATATTCCCAGTGTAACAGAGGCCAGCCACAACAGTCCAACAATAAAGAATTTGGGCAGATAGAAAGTTAAGCACTTCCTTTCCCCCTGTTAAGAAAACAATAGTGTGGTGAAAGAGTGAACCCATTCTTGAGATTTTATTAATTCTTGACAGAATAAAATAAATATCATCTTTGTTTCACTCAACATGAACTGGATTAAGAGACTTATCTTTCACATTTTTATCCTGCACAACTGACTAGAGAAGACATTATATGGTATAATTATTTGTGTTAATGAGATAAAGTAGAGTTGGAGCATCCTGTTTATAAAGTCCAACATATTTCACTGATAATGCAAATACAGGTATAGGCTCCAGAATTCCTACTTCTCTTATGCAGTATTTGAAAGTAGTTTAAAAAACCAATCAACTACCACATACAATATCAAAAACCTTCAAGGAAGAATGAAGCATAATGGCATCATAATTCTGATGACTGTTCCATCTACTTAACTTAGGCTTGGTTGACTCAATCTACTTCACTATAAATCCTTCTAACTCCAAGGCTTCATATATTACATTGTACTTTATCAATAAAATAACAGTCTATTTTGTAAGAATTTGATTTCATTTTTGTCACCTTTTGAGAGAACTAAACAAAACAAGTTCTGTCTCCTCAGTAAGTAGAAGATACTGTTGCCTCTTTTACCTGTACTCTTATACCATGGTAGACACAAAGCCAGAACAACAACAGTGCACACAGAAACAGTGACTGGAATAGATCATCCAGCATTCCAGGAAACCAGCTGTTCACCAGAAAAGAAAGGGGGAAAAATGGATCTGTAACAAAGAGAGAAAAAACCCTTTCAGTATGAAAAGTAAAGCAGAATCTATCTTCAGCAGAACAAAAAAAATACTAGATTTTTTTCAAATTACACCAGTAAATTAAACTGAAGCTTGTTTTATTTTAAAGAAATTAACAAAGAAAATGGTGCCTCCAGCAGCAATCCACTCTGCTGTAGAAATAATCTTGAATGGTTGACATAATTTCTAGAAGATTTCAGATTTTATTAGACTTTCTACTAAACCACTGTTAATGGTGACAACCTAAAAAATTATCATATAATGTCTAAGATGCAAATACTATTTTGGTACTGCTAGGAAGTGCTAGAATTTGCTGTGTTTTACTGGACTAAAATTAACTTCCATTTTTAACTAAAGTGTGAATATCTGAAAAATGAAGACGACAGCAGACAAACAGAAATGGAAAAGTTAAGTATGGCAGGCACCTATTCCAATCAGAGCTTTAAACAAATAGCTGACATCCATGTGACTGAGAAGAACAAAATCCACCCACTCATTATGCCCTTGAATTTGCTACACTTGGGATGGGTTGGTTTTTTTTAATATTTAGTTTTCTGAAGATTTATAAAGAACTGCTCATAAGTTCAAGAAAAAATTCCATTTTGTCTTCTTGGTCTTTTTTTTTTTTTTTTTTCTTTTTTTTTAAAAAATAGAAGCAGGAAAAAATTCTATTTCTAAAAATTCAAGGATATAAGTACCATTGTAAAGTAGCAAGAGAGGAAGTAGGATGGACATCCATTTCTGCTCAATACCCCAGTCTCTCATGGAGAATTTCCGCAGGGAATGTGCAAACAGACACTACAAAACAACAGCAACAATTTGTAAGGAAGGAATACAGCCTTCAATGGCTTAACCAGAGCTAAGAAAGAGCACAGCACACTGCAAAGGCCTTTGCCACTGAGAACACTGTAAATGGGAGCCAGGTCTCCTTTTTCTATTTCAAGTTTGCTCACTGGCCCCAATGCAAATTACCTATTTTCTCAAGCAAAATGAGAAGTAAACCAGCCTGTACCTGAAAAATCAACAACATGTGAAAAAAAAGATGTTGCCTCATTATTGGTCACACACTATCAACAACATCCACTTGAATTCAATTTTTTAAAAAGCAGATTGAATTTTATATTTACAATTATCTGAGCAACATCATCTGCAAGAAAAATGCCACAGAATCATGCAGTACTTTGGTATCTCTACTCTGAAAATTCAGAATTTTAGGTTTGTTTTTTTTTTACAAACACTTCCAGGAGCCAAGACAGATTAGAAAGGAGACATCATCTAAATCATAGCATAATTTAGGTTGTAAGGGACCTCTGGAGGTCATCTGGCCCATCCTCACATGCAAGGCAGCAATAACTTTAATGTTAGATCAAGGTCAAACAACCCACACTCTGGCCATCCTATTCCTGAGCCTAACTCCACTGCAAAACAATACTCTTCTTTAGCATCTCATCACAATTTTCTTTGTCTAAGCAATTTTTTTTCTGTTTAATCCAAACCCAGAGTTTAGAAAAACAAGTTTTCCCATTTATCTTATTTTCTTAATGTCCCTTCAATACCACTTGTTAAAACATAAAAGCAGCAACTAGGTAAGTATTTCAGAAACATTTTTACACCCATTCAGTGACATGTCAACTTTGCTGCCTGGGGTTAAATTCCTAAACGCAGCATTACAGAGCATGTTATCAGCTGCCTACATAATAAAACTCCAGAAAAGCTGCAAAAAAATCTTACCGTGACCATAAAAGTAAGAACTACAAAGACAAATCGGAACCATATTTCCACTTGTGAAAAGGTTGGATTATAGGTCTTCCACTACAAAAAACAGAAGAGCCCAATGAATAGTATTTTGACAAACTATCTATGACATAAATAATTAGCACTCTACTGCAGATACTGAAAAGTTCTGTGGGTTTTCAAAATTCAAAGGTTTAACCAAATTCCACTGTGTCACCATGGAAAAATAAAGACAAATCTACAATTACAGGACTATATGATAAAAAGATAGGAAAAGCAGCCTAATAGCCTTGCTTCTCTTTTATCCTGCCACTTCTAACATACTACTGTCATATGCTAAAGTACTCTCAGGACAAATAGGATAGCCTTCATTGATCTCAACTGCACTTTCAATAAAAGTTTGAATGCCAATAAATGAGTAAATCCAGTGTGTTGTTCTGCACTACCAAGGTCAGATGCATAAATTGATTATAAAGAAGTCAGAGAGGTACAGAAGTACTTCCCGTAAGAGTCTATTTTGTTGAAGCTTACTCGTCTCAGAAGTTAGAAAAGAGAAATCCATGTAAAGGAAGGATAAGTAGCTTACCAGAAACACAAGAATCTTTACATAGGTTAAGGGAGAAAGCCTCCTTCTTCTACTCTAATTATTAGAAGGCATAAATATTAATTATAAAATGTCACTTTACATAAACTCTGCTCTGTTGACAATTTATCTCATACCTGGCATCCTCTTGAAGCCATTTTTGAAATGTAAGCTCCCTGGCACAACATATGCATGCTCTGCTCATCTGAACAAGCTTTACCTTTCAATGTATTAAATCTGTCAACCTCTGTCTCGTCTTTTTAGACTGTAAATGTAGAATGAAAATTATATGTAGAGAAACCTATTACACAAAAGGCAATCCATTGATTTCAACTGAGATCACTGTAAACAATTGTAATTATGAAATAAATGTGACAATTTTAGTTGCTGCAGGAAAATTTGGGTTGGAGTTTTTTGGGATTGCAGACAGGTCTGCCTTTTTAAAGGCAGCCTGTAAAGTAAGAAAAAAAATGGCACAATTATAAATACTTTGCTCTGTTTGAATACTGGAACTAAATAAAGGATTTGTGACCCTAAGGTTATTTTCCCCTTAGAACTTATTTTTAATTGTATGCTTTATGCACTGGAGTACTAAAAATATTAGTATTTAGAAAGTTAATTTGTTATATTAAAAATATTTTTCATTTACTGTTAGATTTTTGGTTGCTACCTGCTCTGACACACTGAATGATATATACAGGTAAATAACCAGAGTAACCTGTATTATAAACTCGGTTTAGTTCCTTTTTCTCCTAATGCAAATGTTTCTAAATTTCTTTCTGGAGTCAATACACATGATATAAGTGTTTTGTAAGTAATCTTTAGCACTATTAACTGAGATAGTTATTCCTGGAGAATATTGGACTGGAGATCATTTGAGTGGACAATTGAGTGAATTATTTTAGTAACCTGCTTGTGTTGGTTAAAAAAAAAAACAAAAAAAACTCTTCCTCATAAGCACAGTGCACCCCAAAAAAATCTCTTCATTTTCCTTTGAGTTAGTTAAACCTTTCCAGCCCTCCCTTTTTTGAAGTCTGGAAAATTTTGATATAAAACAGGATCCAGGTCTCCTAGTTTCTATTTCATGCTTTTCAGCCTCCTGGAGAGGCGGAAAAAATACCATCCTGCATACAGGCAGCATCTCTATATGCAAATGTAGAAAACTGGATGTTCTAATCCAGCTTGCCTATTGTAAAAAGTATCTCCGAGCATTCAGACTAAATGTATCTATTACAGAATACAGCAGCAGTAATTCTGAGAAAATTTTTTTTCCTTTTAGAGTTAAAAAATTGGTCTAGACCCTTATCAACAGTAAATGCTATAACAGCTCTGACATTAGTAGTGACAAAAAAAATAATTATGATGCATTTTCTAATTTATCTTCAAAAATCTGATATTTTTTGTTACCGTTAAAGCACACTTCTACAGCATTAAAGAGACAGCAATAAAGGGACTTCTTTTACGAGACGAAACCTTTATACTTACTGTGAAAGTAATATTCTGGATGGTGTAGGTTAACTTGTTTAGATCTTCAAAGCTAACAAATATGTTGTACTGAGTGTAGTTCAGGTAGCCCAGGTGAACAACAATGATTTCACTGCATTTCTGTGAACACACACAGAGAATAGTACATAGAAGTCTTCAACTACTCCAGAATATGCACTGTTAGTATAGGTTGGAGAATTTGTTCCTAAATGGTCCAATATTGATGATATTTATTATATATCTCACCAATCTCATTCAATCTAATCAAAACTTTCTTGAAACATACCAGAGAGAGCAGAAGAAACTGATAAAGTCAGTCAGGTGGATCAGTGGCTGAACAATAAACAGTGCCAGCTTTTCATGTGAGCCAGTGACAGCAACTGCTTGCAGCAGCAGGATGGAAGCAAATAACTCTGTCACTAACTCAGCTTGAGCTAGTGGAGGGGGCTAACTAACTAATGTAATAACTAATTTTTAAAAGTTAACAGGAGGAAAGAGAAAAGCCAAGTATGTTGCTCTCTTGGCTGCGTAATTAAATCTAATGGAGCTGTATTAATTTCTGCAAATTTCATAGATATGTGCATTTATCTATATAAAAAGAAAACACTTGTTTTACTATATATGCTTATCATAAAAAACTTCAGCTATGTCCTTCCTAAAGGATTTGCATCTGAAGAAGCTGTTTTGAATGTCTTTAAGCTTAAAAATTTCAGTGAAAATTACATTAGAATCTCCAAATGTTTCTTCACACTGGCAAAAAATGTGGCTTTTTCGAAACACAGTTGCCAGCTGATTGCAAGCAGATTCTGCAAGGTGTTGGAGAAGAATTTTTCTCTCCTCCGGAACCCCATATCAAATCTTCTGCTACAACATCCCTTTATTCAGTACTGCTAAACCTTGAACAGGACCCACTGCTTCACTGACAAAGAGCAACTCTAACAAGAAAGAGGGGTCTTTAACAGGCTATAGACACAAGTTACAGAAGTAAACAGAAAAATGATGGACAGGTATGTGTCTTGTCAGCATTACTGCCTACATTGCCATTATAAATAAAACTGTCCTCTAAAGTCTTTCCCGAGACGTGTCTAACAGGTACATTCTTATTTGCAATGTAAAGTAGCATGCACACAGATTTAAAGAAAATGCACTACATTGGAGCTTTGTTTAAGCAAGTGCATACTTGTGCACAACTGAGTAACCTCGTCCGATTGTGAACTTGATTGTTAACGTATGGTGTGCTTCCATCCTTCACCACTCCCAGGACTTTGACTGTCATGGTCACATTCTTCTTGAGGGATACTGGAATTAAAACAGAAACCATTCATCTATTGCTACATGCAGAAATTAAATCTCAAATAGAGGTCCAAAATAATTTAAAATACATATGCTATCCAAATGCTACTAAGAACTACCCAGTTATACATTACTGGAGTATTTTTATACATAGACAGTAAGTCACAAGCGCTGTACTGAATCTTGACAGATTAACAATTACAAACATATTATTTCTCACATATATACAGGAAAACTGTATCATTACAATCTACACATGTAATTCCCTCCAAAATGAAGGAAATACACAGATTATCTGGATTATCTGGATACTATTGTTTTCACAAAAATAACAAACAACTTGTCCCCTACTGCTGTTGCTTACAATTCAGTCAGTGCTGTCCATGTTTTTACCAAGGGAGGGAGGTGAGGTGGAAGAAAAGCATATCAGAGGAAAAACCCACCAACCACAGCCAGAAAGCAACAGGATCATGTGTGTGACAGCTGGAATTAAACATACAATAGACAGATTGCTATAGCAATTTCCTGAGAACTAGGTCAGATTCTCACCATCGTGCTGATCCAACTCAACCACACAGGTCAGCCACAGCTGCTGGTTGTAAGTTGACAGTGGTGGTGAACTTAAATTAAATGGCTTCAGCTGTAAAAAACCCCAAAAGGTTAGCACCAGCCTTTACACTGTTACATGACATATCTGTAGTCACAACTATGAAAGGCATGTTAATTATATTTGTGACAATGTTTTTGAGAAGAGATTTATGTGTGCTACTCTGTGGGACACCGTGATAAGCAGCTCACACAGAAGTGTTCCAGAGAAGAAGCTTAAACAGCACATATATTTTGCAAAGCACTGAAGCAAGGAAAGGTTGCTACCTAAACCTTCTAAAAGCAGCAGCAATAAAATAGAAAAGTTCAAATGTGAAGAAAAATCCTGAGACCTAGCCTAAATATAAGAAATAATTTTTAGCACTTTACATCAAAAGTCAGATTTGTGGGCCTTCATCTGCTACACAGTTTTAAACTTGTTAAACTAGAATTACAAAAAAGCCCTGTTTTCCACTTGGTTTTCTAAAAATTCCACATTCAGTTCAAAAGAATGAAAGGTATCATTAACAGATAAAACCTACACAGAAGAAAGACTTCTCTAATTTGAAATCAAGATGTGCTTGAAAAAAAATAAAACCCACCCACAGTACTGTATCAGTCCAAACATATATAGTTGAGTTGTAGGTAAAAAAAACCAAAGTGTCCTAGTGTATTTAAAGGAAATGCACTTTAAGAAAAAACCCACAACAAAACCTTTTTAGCCGTTTCACAAAAAATACTTTAGATATTAGGTTGACAATGAAGAGCTAGACAAACAAAATGCAAGAACTGGGAACCAAAATATGAAAGCACTTGAGAATATGTGAATGTTCCTCTTAGGAAGCCAGATCCCATGTCTTGGTCACATGATAGTGAACAATTAACATGAAATATTTCTTTATAGATGATAGAAAGGGAAATCACAAGAGAGACAGCATTAGTTGCCACTGAGTGTATTGTTTTTCAATGCATGTTCTCAATTTCTATTTCTAAACCTCCGACAAGAATCTCCAACATTAATTCACCAGGGAAAAACTCACGTGCTTCTTTATCAGAAACCTCTGTGCAGAAACATACTAGAAACCTCTGCCTGACCTGCTCACAACAGTAAGAGACCAGAAATTGCTGCTGGGCTATTCATGAAGTAACACAGTGGTAGTACAATATTGAATGTTCAGACTCAAATTGGAAAGCACCACTTTGATATTCTGCAGTAAAAGTTTAAATATTTAAAATAACTGGGGGGAAAGAGGGAAATGTAAGAGGGAAATGTAACATTACTAACATCAAATAAAGTCATTAATATAACCCAACAATATTTATTAACTCTTACCTTTAGGCTATTATTTAAGTCAGTTCTTGCTACAGAAGTTTCAATTACATTAGGACCTACACAATATATAAAAAGGAAGAAAGAAAATAATATTGAAGTATATATACAAATGATGATGTCAATACAGGTTTTCAAAAGACTGTACAAAATACCCCCTGCAAAGCAGGTAAACAGTATTCCACTTTTCAGATAAAGGGTAAAGCACTCAGATATTTCAATATAATTTGCAAATCTGACCTGCAAATTTGACCCTTTAAGCATCTCTGCCACGGTATTTCTACACATTATTAAATAAAGTAAGTTATAAATGGAGAACTCCACATCAAAAGCCCTGAATGTACTCTAATCTACTACAATTTTAGTAGTAGTTTTTTATTGATATATATCTCTATTTATCTATATATGTGTGTTTGTGTGTGTGTGTGTATATATATATATATATATATATATATATATATCTCCTAGGATTTTATGGGAATGCAGTCATCATGAAAGCACTCAGCTACAGAATCCCCTTGTTTAATTAGATGAGGCTGCTGAGGGCCATGTCCAGTTAAGTCTTTAACATCTTTAAGGACAGAGACTCCCACAACCTGTCTGGGAAACCTGTTCCAGTATTGAATCACCATTATGCTAAGAAAAAATTCCTAATATCTAACAGGAATTTCTTGTGCTCCAGCTTGTGTTGCACCTCTGAGAAAAGCCCCATCTTCTGCCTAATCCCTGATAAGGTGGTCCCAGACAGCTGGACAGTTTCCCTTTAGGCATGCAGGAGCACGGGGTAAGGAGGACAAGAGGAATGCACATGTGTTTGTGTTTTCATGTACATAAAACACAAAAGAACTAAACCAGAAAAGTGACAGAGAAGAGTAGGAAAAGATCTGTGTCTATACAGCAGGTTATGAACACACACAGAGAAGATATATAGCAGGTAGGGACATAAGCAAGACATAAACACCTGTATTTGGGGCAGGAAGATTCCTCTGTCCAAATGGTCTCTCCCTGTATATATTTGGTCTGGCAATTTAATTGATCTGGAATTTTTTAACCCTCAAAATATGCTCCTTCAATCACAAACTCAATAGTATAAAAATTATGGAAGAAAAGCAGTTACTCACACAGACCAAACATTTCAAAGTTACTACAAAGAAAGAATGGAAAAGAAGGAAATTTATAAATGAGCAGCATGGGATCACTCTGTCCAAGATAGCTTAGCTGTCATGACAGCTCTAAACATACAGCACTGCTTGGGCTCCTACAACCACTCTAGTAACAATATTAACCATCTTAAAGACTTAAAAGGAAAAATTAAGAATTTCAGCCATCATAGCCAGAATTTCATATCAGAATTGCAGTGCAACATCACTAACAGCCACCCACTATAAACTCAGCTCTACATCATTGAACTTTTCAGCTCTCAAGTACATATAAACCAGATTTTTGAATGCATTTTTTGTTTTAAAAAGCAAAACTGAGTTTCAGTAGGCATTCACAGTTGGTAAGTCATCATATATACCAGTAATTAAGTCTTGTCAAAACAAATAGAATTAGCCTTTTTTAAGGGTTTTTATGTTTTTAATTGGAAGATATGAACGAATATTGGGACAGAGAAATCACAGTCAAAGTTCTTAAGAACAGCAACCACACAAATAATGAAGCTCTAGTGCTATAACTGCTTCTTCTCTAGCAAGTGATATATAAAAGCTTTTGAAACAGAATGATGCTGTGGCTGCATTACTAACAAGTGGAGACTAATTTAAATAGTTATTGTGTTTCTTTTAGTCTTGCTCACTTAACATAATAACAGATAAAGGCGAAGAACTACCCTGAGTTGATGAACTGCACAGCTACAGAAAATGAGTTCTGCACCTTGGATTTTCTTTGAACTTGTCTCATCCCAAATATAACACAGACCCATTGTGAAAAGAGAAAGAAAGACCAAACAAGTCTGTGTCTGTTTTGGGTTACAGGAACTGTAAGAGCAGCATCCATATCTGATCAAACTGTCTTGATTTCTCAGATGAAAATCAAGAGTTCTGCCAGGCTTCCCAAACTGCAGGTATAGATGTTGTGTGTGGGCAATGGCATATTTAAGTAGCACAGAAAATACGGACGTATCTCCCACACTTTCCTTTACTTAGTGGGTTTGGTGACCTTTTCTCAGACTGTACCCTTTAATGAGGGAGCATTCTCTTGTTAGGGCCCCTCCTGCTATTCACAGGAAGCAAGCAGCTATCAACAAAAACTGCGAGGAATATCACAGTAATTGTTCAGTGGGTCTCCTCCCAAGGCAAACAGCATTCTTTTAAAAACATTTAAGTTATAATAATGAACACTGTCAGCCAAACTATCCAGCAAACCAATCTTACAAGGACAAGAATCCCACAGCCATAACAGTTCCTGAAGGGGATCACAGGCAAGGCCTGGGACCACAGCATGGTACAGATGACCAAGTGCTGCTTACAGCAGCCAAGTCCCCTGAACCAAAGGTTTCAGTCACCACCAGATTACTCTGCATGCAGACACAATACACCAGCACAGGTCCCTCTCAGATTCTGCTACTAATTAAGAACAAAACACTACAGTTTTCTCTTCCAGGAGCGTTGCTTTTTGCCTAGGTCTTACATAAAATAACTTTCTTTCATTTCTTGCAACCTGGCAGTATAAGTACACAACTAAAAATATCGTTCAATTTTAAGGCCAAATAGCCCAATTACACTAAATTAAATAGTTCAATTTTTTCCCCTTTATCATAAAATGCACTTTTGCAAATGTGTTGATGCAATATTTTATTTTAGTGGCCAAATAATGCCCTTTAGCATCCTTCAGCAAGTCACAGGAATATCAGTGGTTAACCTTTATGAACTGAAGCCTGTTTAGACCTTCAGCTGCTATAATAAATCAAAAAGCCAGAAAGAAGGTTTTATTTCACAGACAAATTTTATTATTGAAGGCTATTATGAAAAATTTATTGCCTACAAGGCACAGATGGGCATAAAAAGCCCAAACAGCTGCCTCCAATTAACCCGCCTTTCTTTCCAAGGCAGGCAGGACTGGATAGCTCCAAAGCCTGGGAGCCCTTCTCACTCTAAAGGAGGTGAAGGACAGGGCAGAGGTAGAGATAACCCAGCAGACAGATCAAAATGTGTCAGAGAGGGGCACAGAAGATCACACTGGACATGCTGAGTGATGTGGAAGTCAGCCGTAAAGTAGAGGAAGATGGTAACAACTTAAAGTAATTCTTATACAGAGGGTGGGCTGCTTAAGGAGTACCAGTCCCTCCTTTTCCTTCTCCCTGTCACTTGACTTCTGTATTGATAAAGCTCTTCTCACAGCAGAATATCAGTATATTTAACACTGACTTATTTTTCAAGTATGTTTTAGCCGTGGAAAAGCTCTCTGACATAAAATAAAGAAAGGTCCAGTGCTTTTCAACTCCCTAGTGACACTGCATCTTTGTTGACCAGACTACCACAAGTCTCTCTGATCTCCAGGATGAGTACACAGGCACCATGTGCTTAGTCTCCCAGGTCATGTCAGGACTTTCACAAAGATCTCTGAAACCAGAGACCTAAGCTCATTGTTTGACAAGTGAAGTACATATTTTTACTCTAAAATATTTTGTATTGATGTGGCATCTATCAACCAAACATTTAGAAGGTTTTACAGTTATCAGTTTTGTCACAGGAAATCAAGTATTAGCACTACCATTTTACATATAGAAATACAAAGAAAAACAATGTAGCAGTCTGCTGAAAAATTATGTTGCAATGAAGCTGCTTTTGTTTCATTTTATCATCTCTCCCCTGCAAAGAAGTTTCAAATACCAAGTCTTTGTAGGTAGTACTCCTACGAAAAGTGAGATGGAAGAAACACTTCCTTGTCCCTGTCAAGAGGAATGCTTCTTCAGACATCTCAGGAGCAGTAAGCTTATTAGCATTTAAATACATCTGTAAATACCAACAAGTTTAGACAAAGTATATGAGAACTGTAATCTTCTAAAAAGACATCCTTACCTGCTATTCCTATGAAGACTGTCAGACCAAAACAAATAAAGAATACTACAAAGACCAGAACAAAATGCCTTTTGGACAGTGTATACAATCGCATCGGGGCCAGCCTACAGGAAGCAAAAGAAACCACAGAATTAGTGTTGCTCATATTTCTAAAGGGTCAGAAAATAAACCCCATTCATTCTTCAACAAAGAAAATTAAACCAAACACTGAGGTAACATGTAATACTAAGAAAAAATAAATTAATGCTGCTTCACAGAGCAAAGACAACAGGAATTATTAAGTACACATATGTATGCACACATCTGTGCTCCAAAATGTATTAATTTTGCCATCTTTTTTATCCTGGGGTTTTCTATAGTCCTAAAACTTGAGCAATAGAAAATATTCCTTAAAGGGAGAAAAGGTTGTTTGTGTTATTTCATACATTAATAACTTAAACATCCAAGACTCCATGTATCCTGCAATGAGAGCTTAATCTAAAAGGACAGACATCACTAACAACTCATTTACCTGCACAGGACCTTGATGAGTTGTCTATACCCTATAAATATACTTCAACCTAGCAGGATCATCCCTAACAAGGAGTAGGGCAGAGCTCCAGATCTGCTATATGTACATGTTCAGGCTCTGAACTCTTGTCTGAGCTCCACCAAAGCTTGGGAAATAAAAACCTGAACTCAAGTTTGCTATTGGACACCTAAATACAAATACACATAAGCAATGACATCTCCTGCACCATGTGTTGGTGGTTATCGTTAACTTAAAGACAAAAGAGAGGGGAAGGGCTGTGGGTGTGCATTGAAAATACCAACTGCACTCCCTGGAAAACAGGTAACTTCCAGTTCCGTTAGCTTAAGGGAAATATGATCAAATAACTAATCTTACAGAAGGTGGACAAATCCACCATGTTTCAAAACACAGCAACCATCTCCTGAGCCACCACATACCTGAATTTCTACTGCTGCTTCAGGAGATATGATCAGAGGAATTTGTAGTTTATATGGGAAAGCTGTAGGACTGGGGGGCTGATGGGATGGTGGTGGTGTTTTTCAATAAATTTGTATGAGCACCATTATGGAGAGAAATGAAATCTTAAGACTTTAATGACAGCACTCCCTTTTAGCTTGGAGTAAAACTTCTTTCTTTTCACCAGCTGAATGGCGCTCTTACTGGTTCACCACATTAACAAAGAATTCCAGAAGAGGTGGTGAAATCCTTCCCATAAGACCAGCCTGAACTCTGGGACCAGGTACCATGAGCTGCATGGATGGCAGCCATTAAAAGCAAGGCAAACAATTCACTTTAAACCAGTACAAGGATTTATTAATAACAACCTCTATTTTCTTTGAGAATCATTGCATTTTTGCCAAATGAAGCACTACCAAAACCAGTTTGCATTATTTTTTTACTGTAAAGTTTGAGAGACCCAAATCTTAATTTATTAACAAAGGAGGTGGGGAAGGGATGAAAACCCCAAAAAAGTAATGAGAACTGCAAGCAAGTAGCTGCAAATGTTACGAGCCTGCACAAACTGGATGTGCAGGACTCCAGGCACAGCACCTGCAGAACACTTGCCAATACACCTTTACACACAGCAGAAACTCTGCATCAGTCTAGAGGTAAGAACAGCTAATTGTACAGCCAAAAAAAGACAAACCATACATGAAATGACCAAGCAATTACCATATAAGAAATATCGGATCATCACACAGAAGCCTCACAGACAAATAGTGTTTTAAGTTGACTTTTAATAGAGGTATTTCAAACCAGAACTTGTCTGCACAACTTTTCAGGGATTTAACTGCAGTATTTTTCTTATATCAATGTCTCAAACTTATATCAATGCATTTAAACTATGTTAAAGCTATTAAATCTGTACTACTACTGAAACAACTAACTAAGGTGCATTTTTCCATCAGCTCCAGGGGCTCCTTCAGTTCGAGATGACCTGATATTCCCTGTATACCTGAGTACACCAAGCATGGGATATAATCTTGAGATACCAAAGTATTTATCATAACAAGAAAATCTTTGACATATTAAAACAGTGCATAAAATGTGGACATGCCTAAATTAAGTGCAAGAGTTCAAGTGGATACCAAATGCTTCATGGCAGAGCACATACACTGAGAGTAACACAGGGAAGTCCATGGGTTGAGTATAGCTGACAACTGTAAGGGTATCATGTTTGCAGTAAAGCATAACATATACTTGTGCTCTCTGAACAGCTCACATCTGGGCATCCACTTGACAGCTACAGACTGATGCAGGATACTTCTGACTTGCTGTGCATGTTCTTGGTTCTTTTGATAGTTTTCCTAATTTCAAAGTTTTTGCAGACATTTCAAAATGCATGATGTGGACACGAAAAGCAGCTCCCTCTCCACATTCCCTATAGAAAAGCCACCAGCTCCTCACCCAGCCAAGAGTGTTACTGGCAATTAGCACCTTGGTTTACTCATAAGCCAGAGCAGATGTGCTTGTGAGCTTTTGAAGAAACACGTTCCAGACATTGGCTCATTCTTTATTCCAGCTGCTCTCCAGATGGTGCAACACCTGGTAGTTGCAATGGGTAGGTGTACACCTACCTACCAACAGGGATGCTGTACCCGGTCACGAGTGGAGACACAGAGGAGGGACACACCCCATGTTTTCCTTTCATTCATCCCTGTACTCCTCAAGTGTCATTTAAGCCACTGACTGCATGTGGTACTTTAGAGGTCAGTAAGGCAACATAGACACTTGTATTAACAGCAAATGTAAGAACTCAGCCAAATCTTAACTGCATTTCTCATGAGGGCAAACCACAATTTACAGCATTCCTATCAGGTGATGCACGCTCCATTGCCCCTCACTGCAGAACTTCCGTATGTAGATTTAAGTGTCTCGTTGCACCTGTCACCACCTGACATACAAAGCAGGTAAAACCACCTCCCCATGAGTTCATTGTTTAACAGCTGCCTTTTGGAAAGAGATTATATTATATAAAGTTTGTGAATATACATAAGTGCAAGTTGGTTATGCCCCATTGGCAGCCCCATCTTACATCTGAAATGCCCAAGAAAGAATGAAATGTTGGAAACACATTTATGGGAAAATCAAAAAAGATTCCTCACTCTGGATGCACCTGTTCAAACAAATAAAGAACTGTGCTTTGCTTTACCAAGCAAAGTGGAAGATATTTAATCAGCCCAACCACAGCAGTCCAAAGCTCAAGACTAGACATCCAACTGTCCACAGGTCTTTCAGGCAGCTTTTACCACCTACACTCAGCTTTACCCTAATTCAGAGTGGTTTATAATTAACTTATGTCTGAAACTGACTTGCAAAGGAGGAGAAAACACTGAGATACAAACAGAGAAGTAGCATACTTGCATGTCTCAAATAGCAGTCAATAAAACTAAAGTGCTGCAGACAGAGTTAACTTTGGAAACATACACTCATAACTACTGCAATCTTTCAGCAGCCATTCATATGTGAGATGCAAAGACGGGTTACATCTTGCTTTTGGAGTAAAGTTTTGTCTCAAAAGGGCCAGCAAAACGTTTCTCAGAATATTCCTCATCTTCAAATCACTACTCATGACTGCACAACAAAGTCCTTAATGAAGAACATAATGAAAAACAGAGCCTGTTATATAATAAACAGTCAGTCTTTCACTAAAGACTGACTTTAAAGAAGGGAAAGCTGTGGTGAAACTGAGATTAAGCAGTAGGTAGGCAGAGTCAATATTAAAATCAGAAATAACTTGCTTTTATGCACAGCAGCTTTTCTGAAATCCTAGCCTCAACATCTCTGCCTCCAACTGCTCATCTCTATTTTAGGCTCAAACCCAAAAAGAACCATCAAACCCACTTTGATTTGAATAATTATATATGCTACCCACATTGACAGTACTGGGGCTATCCATACACCCCGCACTTGTTCACGACTTAAATACATTGCCTGCTTTGGTGCCCCTCAGAAGACCTTGAATTTCTTCTTGCAAATGTATTCCACAAGGGTTAATAGCTAATGAGGCAGCACATGACTATACAAAAAGAAGCATAAAATTAACATTGCCAGTACTATACAGAATTTCTACATGACAACTGACAGATAAACATGGCTATGCTTTGCCTTTGTATGTGAGCACTGGGGGGGTTTGGCTTTTTGGTTTTTTAGTTGTTGTTCATCGTATTCATTTAAGTCTGTATAATTAATCACAGCTATGACTCTGTTCATGCGAAGAAATATCCGGGAAAACAAGGTTTTATTTCTCCTTTAACAAACAACCTGAGATCTTAGATAACGGGAGTGAGGGGAGGTTTTATTCGCCATGTAAGAGGCAAACTCTAAAGAAATGGACAGCCACCCTCGGGGTCCTGAGTGGCGAACCACAACCTCAGAAACATTCATTTAACCCTCGGCGAGCTGATTTCCTTAAGGAGCATAACGAGTATAAAATGAATTAGACTCGGACTGCCCAAAGACATTGAGGGGCCTCCCTCCCCGGAGACACTCAAGACCCGTCAGGACAGTCCTGTGCCAGGTGCCCTAGGAGTGACCGTGCCTGAGCAGGCAGGCTGAGCAGACGGCCAGTGACGGCGGTCCCTCCCGAGCTGGCCCGTTCGGCGATTCCGTGGGCGAGTTCGCTCTCCCGGACGGGCCCCCTCGGGCTCGGGGCGCCCCTCGGGCTCGCGGCCGCCCTCGGGCTCGGGCCCCCCTCGGGCTCGGGGCCCCCCTCGGGCTCGGGGCCCCCCTCGGGCTCGGGGCGCCCCTCGGGCTCGGGGCCCCCCTCGGGCTCGGGCCCCCCTCGGGCTCGGGGCCCCCCTCGGGCTCGGGGCCCCCCTCGGGCTCGCGCCCCCCTCGGGCTCGGGGCCCCCCTCGGGCTCGGGGCGCCCCTCGGGCTCGGGGCCCCCCTCGGGCTCGCGCCCCCCTCGGGCTCGGGGCCCCCCTCGGGCTCGCGCCCCCCTCGGGCGCGCGCCGCCCTCCCCGCCCCGACTCACGGCTCCATGGCGCGCCGCGCGCGCGCTGCCCGCGCCTCCGCCGCGCGCCGCCGCCGCCGCCGTGGCACAGCCGGCGCCGCGCGACGCCTTCCGCGTGCGTCACCGCGCGGCCGCC